GGTCGAGAAAGGCACCAAAAAAAGGTAAAACTTCAACAACGTTTTACGAATATAGTTGGGCAACGCTCTACTAGCTCAAGAAACAAAAGAACTTGCGTCAATACCTTGCACAGTGGGTGTTATCGTCGACGAGATCCCGCTTGATATGAGAGGGGCCATCAAATCTCGAGTTGCATTAAATTCGTTAGAATCCAACAGAACGATACGTTTATGTCGATTTAAGAATGGACGCCAGTTCCCTGTTGGTTTTTCCTGTACGGATTTTATATACTCTAACGGTTTATCTAACAATTTAAAGCGTTCAAATCCTTCTGTTCTTCTGTGGAACAGACGTTGAAACAGTCGTCTACGTATCGACAGTAGAATAGGAGTTGGTGATCGAGAACTGGAGCTTCCACCTTAGACATGAAAGCGACGGTAAGATCTAGTGCTAAACGCTGTCTCATGGCCAACCCTCAAATTTGTGCAGAATATTTTCCAGAACACCTAAAGATTGAACAACTAAGACACTGTTTTAAGAGAGTCATTAGTGGCGTAATCGACAAGCCGTACATTTCTATTTTCTTTCCGTGCTCTACGAGCAACTCGAGAATGGCTTGCATTGCGGAGTCATTCGGCACGTTGGTATAAAGCGAAGTAACATCGAATGGCCCCATTACATGCGTGCTGTTTGGTTGCGCGCGCCCTAGGTGATCTAGAAATATTTTGGTGTTAGGTAGATGGGTTGGAATGAATTTTAGCAGCTGGGTTAGGATAAGGTTTAGGAACCACGTTATTCTATCCGTTGGCCCGCCTATACAACTGATGATAGGTCTAACTTTATATGATGATGGGTTCGTTAACGTAATATCATCAGTTGAGGTAAGCTTATGTGTTCTAATAAGCAACTGAAAGACAGGGCAAATTGGATTTTCGTTTTTAAGTCGAAGAATAACTGAAGGGTCTAAACCCGCTCCCTTTGCCGTGTTGACCAATTCTTGGTTTAATTTTCGTTTGAATTCAAACGGTCTCTAACTTGGTAAATACCACACTTTTGTTGGTGTGTGAGGTTGGAGCTTATTTTTCTTTTTTGGTAGTGATTAAGTATGCAGAGAATTTTGTCCGAAAATAGACGAAATGGAAGGTCAATATCGCTATTTGGTGGCCGTGCTCAAGGAAAGCGCGGGAGAAAGCATTTGTGGTAGTTCCTCTATTGGTACTTTTGTACCTAACCTTTTAAGCCAAGCCCTATAATGCAGCTGATCTTGAAGTCCATGCAGATTGCACGTAATCCTGCGCAAGATTGTTTTAGAAATGGGTGGACTAGGCGCGAAACTCGGACCCATTTCTAACAATGAACGCGCATTTCCGGAAGCGCTATGCCTCCTAACACAGTAGCTATGGACGATTTTGGTGCGCCCTAAATCTCAGAGGTGCTGATTAAAACGTGACCAACGGTGGTGCTTTCTTTTGATCGTTTAGGGAGTAACAAATTTTCACACTTTTTCTTTAACTTGTTTTAATAACACACTGAATCTTTTCAGAAAGTGAAATGAACCCAACCACCAGTCTCTTGCAAATATTTCTCTCCAAATGCTTAGCACAATGACTTCTTTATTTGCGAAAACACTTCATTTTGTGTGCACAGCAATGAAATGCGTAGTATTTTTATTTCGATGGTCAGCATTTGTTGAGAATTCTCTGGTAAGCCCCATACTTCGTGTAATCTTTTATGTTTTTCAAAATTAGGAATAATCCGGTGTTTTAAGCAGCGGCAGAAAATGTAGGTCTTTTGTCGCATTAAGACGATTTTTTGTCTTAATGACAACACGTCCCTAACAAGTCGGAGACGCTTTGCGGGAACTTTTAATCAATATGGTTTTTTCCACCGAATAATCAAACTATTCTTGTACAAAATAGGCCCAGGCGCTGAGGAAAGCGATATCCTCGAAAAGTTTGCCATTGACCAACAACACTAACAACAACGGTGGCGAAAACGTATACCAACCTCACATCAGCCCAATAAGGTCAGTTTATAAGATCATATAAATAAATATATCAACTATTTATGCGGAGATTTAAAGAAAGTCAGTGTTTTGAACTACTAAGGATAAAAAGAGAGCTACACTTATTAAAAAGTGAAGGCCATATTTTCAGCACAACGAAGGTGAAACAGGAGCTTTGTAGTCCGAGACAGCGAATAATTTAGTAGAGTTGCAGCTACCTTCACATCTAGTGTGCGGATTCCAGCATTTTTTTTATTTGCTTCAACCACAAGAGTCTTTGAACTGAGGGCGGATTCTATGCAAATCTGATGTAAATTCCCCACCCCAAAATGAAAGGAGATTCGCCGACCCCGGTGCAGTGTCGAACCACGACCGTGTTCGTGATCAACAGCATCGGGATTACTGCACTATTTCTCCTTATTTGAGACTTGGATATGTAATCTATGCGAAGCTTTGGTAACTCGGGCTTCTCTGATCGAAAACAAGTGGATCATCTCTTGTTTTAGGTCTCATCGTGCAGCTGCAACTGTGAGTTACGATGGCATTTTGTCGGCATTAGGAGAAATTCTCGAAGTAAAAGCACAGCTTCTCCCATATGTTGTTTTTGTTGGCGATTTTGAATGTTAAATTTCAAACAAGGAGAACGATTGAAAGCTTCAAATTGTTATCTAAGGACTAAAGTGGAGTGAAGAAAGATAATGATTAGGTCGAGTTTGTCCTTCAAAGACGTTCTCTCCACAACTAATAGAAATTATCGATCTTTTCTTGGGCTGGTTATAAAGACGATCTAAGAATCTGCCTGAACTGAAAAGATTCCTGCAGGCACATTGTACAGCCTCCTGTTTTGCGATCTTGAAAAGCTAACTGTGAGCCTTTGAAAAATGTTTACTTGTACTTCAACTATTGTTTGATTCCCTGTACAGCGTTTCTTCGAAGTTCTTTAGTTCACCAGGTCTACACAGATGTCGGAAATTCTTGGTAAGTTCACATGAAGTCTGTTGTTCAATTTGAGGGCTATTTAGTAGGCGTAATTGTTCAATGAATTTTGGTTTTCTGCCTTCATTATCGTATCGCTATGGTCATGAAAATCAGGGGAATGTTCTCCCATAGCGAATTATAAGTGTGCTGTCCATGTAATAAGAAGAGCTTGGACTGAATAACGATAGAGTGGGCTCCTAGAGAACCTTTTAAACAGACCAAGTACAAGTTCCCTGTACTTGTTGCCGGCTTACGTCAACCAGCTACTTTCATAGGTGTGAACAATTTGTCTTGCAAAATAAGCGCAAAACAAAATACTAAGACAGCAAACAATAGCAAAGTAAATGGTGAAAACGTTTGCAATCCTCGACCTGTAAGCTGCACAATATTTATGATTCGAAAGACTGTGAGGACTAACAATCTGCCACTGCCAACTGTCGTGTGCCAAAAACTAAGGAATCTCATAAATACTACAGCTGTCACATGTAAAGAGTTTCCTTAAAACTAGAATGACAGAAAAATTTGAGTCTTAAGTCACGTAGGTCAGTTCGTAAGCAATCTGTGAAAAAATTTTTTTCAATATGAAGACAGTTTTGAGAAGATAAATCTGACCACACTGTTGAATCCTATTAAACGAATTCATCGTTGTGGTCTATTCAGATTGGCGATGGTTTGCCTAATTTTTGCCACAAAAACGCTTCAAAAATGTTGCCATCAACCATGCGAGAGTATGAAGGGTGAAGCATTCAGCTTCTAATCATATTTCTAGTGATACGTCATGTATTCAACTCTATTCGTAATATCGCAGAGGTGATCGGATTACCCAGTAGAATAGCTTGCAGTGCCCTATCGATGTGCCATTTCAGTGTTCTAATCTTCCCAAATAGTATCACCAATTGGCTAACCCTTTATGGCTGGACGAGTATGTTAGTTTGTTATGCGAGATCGAGCCAAACCAAAGACCATATCTATATTGAACTGCGCCCCTAACTACCCTTGCGCTCGCTATACGCATCTTATTGGCGTGGTAAAATCCAAGGAAAAAAATTTTATTGTTGCTAACTTGACTCTTTGAGAAAACTAATGATAGCAAATTAGTTGCGAACTTCATACATGGTTTTTCCTTTGTATAGTTGCATATGTGGTGCGCGCAGTGTTGCTATGGCAGCATGGCAGCGTATGTCTCTTGGTTCGCCGCAGCGTTTTCTTCACGCTTCTTTTCAACCCTCCTCAATCTTTCCTCCTTCGCTCCCTTCTTTCAACAGATAAAATTCCCCTAACTTTGGTGAATTGAACTCATGTCATTATATTTCATAAAGAGAGGAAAAATATTTCCGTTCCAACATGATGTCTCTCGAAAAGTGATAACTGTCATCCATAACTCATGGGCTCAGTGTGTACTAGTAAACCTGAGTTTCAGCCGACGAGTAGATACAAAGTTGATTAGAACAGTTTTTTTGACATGTTCTGCGCCACTTATTATTCATTTCGTCAGTTTCTTTACCACAATCAGGATATTAACTTGAGAGTTAATCTTTTAGCCGAAAATAAATATATTTATCAACCTCGTGCAAGCTTATCAAGAAAGAATACATATTGAGAGTTAATCGTTGATACTGGCATTAAGTGTTTAACCCAGAGTTTCCTTCCTATTCCCGCTTTAGAGTAGCTGAGAATAAAAGTTGTAGATCACTTGAATATTTTCCCTCAAAACATTTTTCTGTACCTAATAATTTTGATGAATGACATCTTTACAAACGATTTTTGCTTGATATCGACAAACTTGGAATGAATCTGTTTCGTAATATTCTTCTACTTACATGCTAAATCTCTTCTGCTTTACAGAAGAAAGAACAATAACTATGCTAAAACTGTGACTATACTATCGCTGAACGCTGAAGAGCTATGATTTTGCCTCCGAAATATAATATATATATTTGAATAAGAAATATAAAAATAGTAAAAAACGAATAAATAACGCTCGAAAGGAATCTAGACTATTGCTTATCAGTGTTGAGGAGGTTCGTAACTGACAGGATGTTTTCAGACTCGACGGACGTCTGTCTGCATATGGTGAATGCCGAGAGTACCCGTGTGGCATTCTTGGGACTTATCGACCGACCTCCGCTCACCGATCAGCTCCTTGCACGACCACCGTTCAGATTTATTCTCGACATCGTCAAATCAACTGTTTCCAAAACAGGATATCTTAAGGCATTTTAACCATGTGTAAAGTTAACCCTTTTGGAGCGTTTTTCGTTAAATGTATAGGATTGTCTGGATGATCTGCTAGCTAAATGAAAACAGCTAATTTATTCAAGGATCAGTTTTCATCCGATGACTTAAACCCATCGAAATTCAACGACAAAAATTCGAAAGTCGCTTTTTTGGACAGTTTGCTTCAAATACTTAACGACGGTTCATTGGATAATGTGAAGTCGTCGAAAATCGTAGCTGGGAAGGAACCGGAACTCACTAATTTGGTAATGCTTTAGTTATATGTGCATAACCCTTTTTAGTTCTTTTTGAGCTTTACTTGCATTTTTATTTATTCGTTTCAATATTTCTTGTCAGTATTTGCAGATGTTGATAAAGCTAGCAGAGCAGGCTCGAGCTCATAGACATGATAAAAAGTCCAGCAGACGAAGCTCGGTTTATCAACGAAATTCCGAAATTCCGTTGAAGACCAAACATCGATCGAAAAGCAAAGAGTTAAAGGGAGAAAACTCGAAAACTCACGATAAAAACAAGGTAGTCAACGAGAACTTCAGTCAATATCGTAATAGTTTGAAAAGAAAGAAAAGTTTGAAAAAAAGAAATAATTTTAAGGTTCTCAACTAGAATTTTACTAACACTCTTTTTGATGTTCTGTAATCCATTTTTTGGTAGTCGTAATTCGAGAAGGTCAAGAAACTTTCAGCATGCTGGTGAAGAGGAGAAGAAAACTGAGGACAGGAAGAAGCGAAGTAAATCGAAGGATCGTAAAAGTCATGATAGAATCAGCAATAAAAAGATAGACGAAGGAAAGAGACGAGAGAAATCGAATCACGCAGAGAAACGGAAGAAAGAAGGTGACGAAAAAAATCGGGACATTAACAGCAACCTTGTAAAACATCAGGCCGAGCAAGAAGTCGAAGAACAAAAATCGTCCGAACACGTTACTCCTAAAGGTTGGATCATTTCTATCACTTGCATTTTTCGAAATTCACTCTACATTCATTTATAATATTTATACTGACATAATATAATATTTCTATTTTTCGTCATATATTACAGTATTCGTAAGCTACTGTTAAAGCTGTGAGGGCAGAGCAGCTCGTGAATAGTTTGTCTCGGTCGTACTGCTATTAATATTTGCTATTTTGCCGAAAAAGAATGTCTGGAAGTCTTTACTACTTACCTTTCCTTTTTGCATGTATTCGAATCAAATTTTTATTTGATTACTGGCAGTGAAGGCAGATTATGAATCGCTAGAGTAGTATTACAATGTGAGTAAAGCACAGAAAGAGATTAGTGACTAATTGCAATTATTTATTTGTTTAATTGATTTGCACTAATATTTATCTCATTCTCTTGGGACTTTTGGATTCGACTAGGAAAATTTCCAGGTTCTGGTGATGCCCAAGCACTCGCGTACACAGAAGGCAATGAAGTTCTTGAAATAAATGCTGGTTCGCATCTAACACCCCAAGAAAGGTAATTCTGAAAAACTACTGTATACTGTTAACCTTTTATTTTATGCCTACTATAATTTTTCACGGCAGGGTATAACATGAATTACAACCACAACGATGCTGAGATATTCGCAAAACTTGGACGCTGGGCCAGATCGAACTACGATTTCCCTTCCAGGGACCCGCGCGTTACACCAACACGGAGGCCCTTGCTATGCGATTCTCTCAACTAGTTTTCTACTTCGCGCAGCCATAAGCAATCACCCTCATCAATCAATCAATATTGCATACTTGTATGACATGTTTTCTGAACTAAATAAACATACCTAAAATGCTAAAATAATGTAAAGGGCGCGTTAAGCGCAGTGGTTAGAAATGCCGTTCAATACTCGCACTGGAAACACTGGTTCGACCACACTCCAGGCCGACCACGCGCTCGTCCTTCCCAGGTCATCAACTACGTGTCAGATTTGCCTGAAAACTCTTCTTCTAATGAACAAAAACTGGCAACTACCCGTAATAAAGCCCTCGAAACCCTTTAGCAGAGTCGCTTCAGGATTTCATATGGTACCAATTCAACTAGCACTCAATAACACTCATGAACAACGAGAAATCTCCAAGGATCAGCGGACCCTAAGTACGAGAAGCATTCTGGATAGCAGAGGGAAGACGGAGAACCAACTGAAAGAAGCCCTAAAATCCACACAATATGTGATGAATAATGGGTCTCACAGGAAAAAATGACGTAGAAAAGGTTGAAGTTACTTGAAATGGAGCCACAAATGATTAGTAAGTAATTTTATAAGAAGGTTTTTAATCAAGTGAGTAATCAAGCCATATTAAACAGTCCTAGACCGAAGCTTAATCCTTGTTTCTTAGTTGTCTCGTTACAGGTTGCCTAGTGCGATTGCGAGACCACAAACAGCATTAGGAAGACCTGGCACGGCGGCGGCGAGGCCTGCTCCTCCAAGATTAAAACGGAAGCAGATAGCAACGGTTGAAAAAACAAATGCGACGGTAAGAGATAGTAATTGTAAAAAGCACTCTCAGTAAAATACGTACATAGCTTTGCTTTAACAACTTTACAGTAGGAAATCCGTCTAGATCGGTTACACTTTCAGCCTGCCCAACAAACAGCAGAACTCATCAGTGAATCAGCTCCGCCAGCGCCTAACGAAACGTTTTTGGTTGAAGATGATGAGGAAGTGGAAAAACCACCACCGGACGATTCTCGATTTTCAGAGGTGCAAGGCGTGAGTGCTGGTTGAATAGACATTTTATCCCCTATTCCGAGTTTTTTGAAAATTTTTGAAATTACGACGTAAAACTTTTTATTCAACGGCATGGATGTGCAAAAACATGCGCCTTGCAACTTTGTCAATAGCAAAGCTACCGAGCAAAAAAGAGTTGTGACAACTATTCAAGCATTCTGCTTACAAAGATGAAATTACTTTACACGTAGGCAATCAGTGAACAGGGAGGATTAGTGCGAAAAATAATTGACACAACGGCGGAATTCGAAGTGGGCACGTTAAATGATGCTACTGAGATCCACCAAGGAGAGTTTGCTAAAGAGAAAACCAAGGTATATAAGCTGATCTTGTTATGTCCGTGAATTTCCGATAAAAAGACCTAATATTCCAGTCGGAAGCATTGTTGAACGCTCTTCAAGAAGTAACAAGAACTGCGAATCCATTGTCTCGAATTTTTGAGTTTGCTCAGGTGACGAGAACCGATTTCGTTCGCTAAGCTTTATTCTGTCAAGGATTTTAACAGAGAACGTATTTTTTTAAGGAAGATTTGGAGTCTATGGTAAAAGAGTTGGAGAAGTGGCGGAATGAAACGAAGAAATACGAAACGTTGTTAGAGGACAAGGAAGCCCAAGGAATTGGCGAAACTCACAAGTTTGTTGTCAACGAATTATAAGGGTGGATTTTTCATTAAATGGAACGACCATATTCAGCCAGATGTTCAGTGTGTCATTTCTTGCTAAAATAGAAAGCTTTCAAAGCAACTCTTTGCTCATGAAATTTAGGCTTTGGAAAATTTTGAATCGACTAGATGAGGAACTGAAAGATATCCGATTATCGGTGACGGCAGCGAAGGCGAGAATTATAGCGAACAATGAACGTATCCATGAAATGCTGAACAACATATAGCATTGGAGTAATACATTTCACTGATGGCACGCAAAAGCTGTGATGGATCTCAGCCAAGGCATGCCCGATTGGAATGCAATAATTCACAGCTATCCTGCGAAATACATAGTTCCATACTTAATTGTCGGTTTTCAATCTCAGTTTCGAAGAAACGACCAATGTAGTTAAGGTGATCGTCGCAAATCCATGAAAATGCTTAGGAGAGATTGAATTCTCTGCACAAACCATTGACTTCTCATCATTTTTCACTGTTTTTGAGTTGCAATACTTTTTCACTTTGTATTGATTTGAAGAGAACTATGCTTGGATGATAGTTTTCTTGTGCGCTATTTAAAGAGATACGCGGAAATTGATCCAAATTGATAGAGTTGCGCATTCTTGCGGTTACTCTTAGTTAGTCGTAAAAGATGAAGCTATGATTAACATTGACAAAGAGATTTTCTAGCTACATTCTGCTTCAAAACATTTATAGAACTGATTTGTGCCTAAAGTCTTCTCTTTGAATGCATAGGATTCGAACATGTCAAATTAAGAAGACGGTACTATCATTTGCACTTAACTAGCCTCGTTCTCTGTTATCTTGCTTCTCCTCAATGAGAGACCTAACGACTAGTTCAGAGGTGAAGAGTCTTACATTGCACTGTTTGTAGAATTATAATTTCGTAAGTGTCAATTCACAGAGTTTGAAATAATATGTGCCTTGATGTCTCAGACATTTTTATTGTTTTCCAGAGCAATCTACCATACATTTTGCCTTTAGTTCAACATACAGACGCATTCTCAGCTTTAGTGATGACCTTGTGCGAATAATTATTTCATCAAGTGATTTCTGTTGTAAACAAATAACGCAGCAATATCGACCAGCCCACATGTCTTTGTACAAGTGAAACAGAATACATGAAAAGCAACATCGCCTTCAGCAATGAACTCCACGTCTACCAAAGAGATACTGATATCAGATGAATAACAGACATTATCGATGTGACGTTGTTAACACATTCTACCGGGCCAGTCTTCATCGAAAGAGATGAGGCAATGAAATTCGTATAGTTAGGTGTAATATTTATTTATATGATCCCTATAAACTGATCTTCCTAAGCTGACGCGAGGTTGGTACAGATCTTCGTTGTCGTTATCGTTGTTTTTGATGTTATTGATCGATGGCTGACGTTTCGGCGACTTCGCCTTTCTCAGAACCGTGATGTTACGTGCGGTTCCGGCGAAGTCGCCGAAACGTCAGCCATCGATCAATAACATCAAAAACAACGACAACGAACAACGAAGGTCTGTAACAACCTCGCGTCAGCTTAAGAAGATCAGTTTATAAGACCACATAAATAAATATATCAACTATCTATGCAGAGGTTTATAGAAAGTCGGTCTTTCGAGTTAGGTGTAAGTGGCTACGAGTGGATACCAATCCACGGCAGTGTTGCCTAAATGCTGTAGGAACCGCAGAAGTAGAGAAGCTGCTCTTTATACAACGTGGATGTTCTCGATCTCTACATATTTCCGCATCTCATCTGAATTGATGGTGTGCTACCGCACAGGCTTCTGCCGTCCGTGCCCATTGAGAATCGATCGATTTGATCGCGCCGCTTGTATTCCTGCGATGTCATGGTAGCCGCTAACTGGCTAAAGTGCCAGAGACACCTCTGTATCACTAACCGTTCGCAGCCACTCCTTGGGCACTCCTCGATCACTCAATGCATCGATTGAATGCCATTCCAAAATCTTCCATGCCCACACAGGGCACACGCCCATCCAACTCCTAAAACCATATTGAATGTAAAGTGCGCGTGTAGCGCAGTGGTCGGAGGCGCCCTGCAGTACACGTTTGATCGATCCCCACGCCCTAGGTTCACCAAGCCTTCCATCCCTCAGGGGTGGGCAAATTGATACCAGGCTTGTATGGGAGGATAGCGCCACTGGCTCGATTCATCGGCAGGCCACCACGAGTCATTGTAAAGGCCTGATATGCACGTAATCACCTCGAACTATGCTTAATGAAGTCGAATGCTTGGCGCATTCCTCAGACATAGATCAACGTCGAGAGCTTTATCTTTTTTTTTTTTTACAAGCCCAGCTATGCAGCCGCGGATTCGTTTGTGGCGTTCCGCCTTTGGTTTGTTACAGCCTTCTGTTCGTGTTCGTTTATTCAGTATGGAAGCTTTCTTGTCAAGTCATCTATGAATACATCGATGCCGTTTTTGATCGACTGTGTATATTTATAGATGCGAATTATTGTCGAAGAAGGTTAGCTTTTGGCGCGGGGGGAAAGCAAAAGCTGGGATTTGAACAGTCTGTTCTCTGCATCTTCTTGTTGGCATGGAATATCCGCAAATCATGCGTGTAATAACGACGCTGGGCAGTACTTTATCACAGCGGCGAGCTCCGCAACTTGGCAAACCTTGAAAGATCACGACTCCAACTGCTGTCGAGTCGAGAACGTAGAGTAAATTGCGCAGAATAGCGTGAAAGAGCAAGCACAAGCATCCATCTTTCACCAGCTTAGGAAATCCACATTCTTTTCTTACATCGTTTCCCTCTTAGCTTGTGCTGTCTGCGCATAAAACCTTGATGGAAGGCGTGTAATAGCACCCTAACTTCTACTTCTAATGTCGTTCAGAATTGTCGTCTGATATCATTCAGGGAGTAACATAGTATTTAGACATTGAATCGAGTGGAGTTGGTGCTTAACTTCCAAGGTGGATACATTTTCATTTGCTGTCTTCTCCATCGTATTCAGCAAGAATGTAGTGCTTGATAACACTTTGGACTATCCTGCTTGTGCGATATCTGCCTAAAACGAAAGCCGAGTGTGAAACTCGAGGTCCTCAGTTTAGGAAATGACGATGACAGAAGGAACCTGATGTTGCACATCGTTACGCATGAGCACTAGTACATAGCTACAATGGTTGCTAAACTATCGAGAAGTCGTATATTTTTGCCTTCTGTTTTCGTAGGCGGATGATTTGAAAGGATGGTTAGCACTGAAAGCACTAAGGATGCTAAGGATCAAACAAGGAAAATTGCATGGAGACATGAAACCTAATTTTTTTCCAGGTCGATATGTCATGTTTAACTACCTTTTGTTGAACACAGTTCTAATAGACAAAACAACCAGAATTGTTCTTTAAAACACCTTATTTTTCTTCCTTCTTCCTACTAGCACTTTTTCAGCTGCCATTTTGGCTTTTAAAAGCGTTGCGAAGCTTCACCCTGGTAAAATCACTAAGAGGACCATCGCAGGTAATCGTAGAAGATCCATATGTCGTGTAATGTCAAAATTCGATCGAGAAGCGGGTCCGTCCGATTCTGCAAATGAAGCGCCAGCGATAAATAAAATCCCCATTCCTTTGAAGGATGAGTTGTTTAGCAACCATTCAAGAAGTTCTCAGTCCGTCAACTTCGATTGCCAGCTTCAGATCGTCTCCGCTAATCCAATCGCCTCCACATTTCGAAATGCTGCACCTTCTTTTTGAATGGAAATCCACCTCACAGTGTCTAGCTCATCAGTGGTTCCACACAAAAGGATACAGAATAAAGCTCTAGCCGTTGACCAATTCCTTTGGAATGCGCCAAGCATTCGACTTCACTAAGCATCGTTCGAGGTGATTACGTCCATAACAGGCCTTTACAATGACTCGTGGTGGCCTGCCGATGAATCGAGCCAGTGGCGCTATCCTCCCATACAAGCCTGGTATCAATTCGCCGACCCCTGAGGGATGGAAGGCTTGGTGAACCTAGGGCGTGGGGATCGATCAAACGTGTACTGCAGGGCGCCTCCGACCACTGCGCTACACGCGCACTTTACATTCAATATGGTTTTAGGAGTTGGATGGGCGTGTGCCCTGTGTGGGCATGGAAGATTTTGGAATGGCATTCAATCGATGCATTGAGTGATCGAGGAGTGCCCAAGGAGTGGCTGCGAACGGTTAGTGATACAGAGGTGTCTCTGGCACTTTAGCCAGTTAGCGGCTACCATGACATCGCAGGAATACAAGCGGCACGATCAAATCGATCGATTCTCAATGGGCACGGACGGCAGTAGCCTGTGAGGTAGCACACCATCAATTCAGATGAGATGCGGAAATATGTAGAGATCGAGAACGGATGTTCTCGATACAACGGACGTTGTATAAAGAGCAGCTTCTCTACTTCTGCGGTTCCTACAGCATTTAGGCAACACTGCCGTGGATTGGTATCCACTCGTAGCCACTTACACCTAACTATACGAATTTCATTGCCTCATCTCTTTAGATGAAGACTGGCCCGTTAGAATGTGTTAACAACGTTACATCGATAATGTCTGTTATTCATCTGATAAGATTCAATACCGCATTTCGAAATGCTGCGCCTCCTTTTTGAATGGAAATCCACCTCACAGTGTCTTGCTCATCAGTGGATCCACACCTGTGTTCCTGACAATTTTCATGCACCTTTCTATCCTTCTATTGTGATTTCCCTTCTGTAAATCTACCTTCCTCTGAAGTTCGAAAAAATTACCGTGGCTCTCTTATTTTATGTATGCCCCACGTTCTTCTGCACATCGTTCCATGTTTTTCATTCACATATAGCTCTTGTCTGTTCAGAAAAGCACCTGCCCACTGTACATTCATTATGCCGTCAGCATTCTGTGAACTTGAATCAAGAAACATTACGATGTTTGCCTTTTAGTTTCGACATTCCCTCATTCCAGACAGTACCCAAAAGTCATCAGAGGGGTTGGAAATTGGTAAGCAACGAATTGCTTCTCAAAAATGATGAGGTACTTCTGCCCACCCCTCCCCTTTACTTGCCACACTCTCCGTACCAAAAGAAATTAGTAAGAAATTATTCAGAAGATATTCTCCTATGGACGACAAACGCCATATCATCTGCATTGCGTAAACTATCTACTGATCACAAGAAGTGTAGGAAAAAACTTCTGTGCACTAAAATGAACCACTGGGAAAAAATGGCGAACAGAGACGTTTTGCCGGTCACTTCCGCAAAACCGTTATGACAGTTACAGGTGTCAGAGTCTTAATAATATTCTATATTCAGTAACTTCAGTGGCTAGATGAATTCAATGCTGCCTTTTCATACAGTACGGCAGTCGATCTACTTCGACTTCTCGTTTGATCTGCTATGGGCGGGCGATGCGTCCTGTAGCAGACTGCACTTCATTCGCTGTCATGTAGTGTGCCTACTAACGTTTTAAAAACCGAGTTTCGTCCAACCTATTTCTCTCGTATTCACTGTTAGAGAAGCTTAATTTTGCATCGCCACTCCATTTCTTTCTATATGTGTAGTACTACTTTTGTTGTACAAATCGAGACTGCCATGTTGTTCCAGAAATGGCCGGTATTGCCCTATTTCGTCTAGCAGAAGAAAGGAAGCAATGGCGAAAGGATCATCCATTTGGCTTCATCGCCAGACCGATTAAGAATGCTGATGGAACGCTGAACCTCTTTAAATGGGAGTGCGCCATTCCGGGAAAGGAGGGGACGAACTGGGAGGGCGGGTTATACAGGGTATTACCCTTATGTTTTTCATAGCTTTTAAAGCTCCTTGTTCTGTTTATATGATCATTTGTGGACCAGGTGTTGAATTGGCTTGAACTCTTGCAGGTCGAACTAAAGTTCGACGATGATTACCCCTCAAAACCGCCGAAGTGCAGATTTGCTCCACCGATCTTCCACATGAATATTTTTCAGTCAGGTATGTGACATCTTCTCTAAACTAAGCGTAACTTCACTGTTAACTCTAGAAAAGGTAGCTTGACATTATTTAATCTCAAAAGTTCGGAAACGGAACAGATAACGCAAAATCTTTATCTTTCATTATGCGGTCGATAACAGGTGGAATCAAAGCTCAGCAAACCTCGTGTATTCCACGATTCAACAGTGCCCTAGAACAATTTCATGACTTTGATGACCTTCACATTTTCTTCGTGCTCATAGGATTCTTTGGAGTTTAAGTCTAGTTGGGATATTGTTCCTAAACCCTTGACTTTCGGGATTCTTTTTTCTTCTGGAGCTCTTAACCTTTCTACTTCTTGTCGTTATTCAGGTTACATCTGCCTCTCCTTGCTTGACGAGAATAAAGGCTGGAAGCCGTCAGTTACAATTAAACAACTACTCTTTGGAATACAGGATCTACTTGACGATCCCAATCCTGACGACCCCGCACATTATGAGGCATACTGCATATTTTCTCACAACAAGTACGCTTACTTTCCAACACATTCAATTTATTTTCTTTCTTGACGATGGCCTGCAATACCATACTTGCCTAATTTTTCCTTTTGGCGAACACTTTTTTCCTCTGAAGTCTTTGTATTAAATCGGTAGCTACTTGTTTACATTTGGCCTATCATAGAAGGGTAAAGGATAAAGCTCGGCGTTAATCGATTCTTGAGGGGTGGGCCATGCATTCGACTTCATTAAGCATCGTTGGAGATGACTGAATGCATATCTCGCGTTTACAATAACTTGCGGTGGCCTACCGATGCATCAAGCCAGTGCTGCCGTTCTCCCAGACAAGTCTGGTACCAATTTGCCGACCCCGGAGAGGTGGAAGCTTGGTGAGCCTTCGGCGCGGGGATCGATTCCACGTGTGTGTTACAGTGCGCCTCCGACCACTGGGCCACATGGGTCACAGCCAGCATAGCCCAAAGAATCCCCTTTCCTACAAATAACAATTTGCAAAAACAACTATATCGAGATGGTTTTATGGTAGTACGATTTGTATGTCATATTTATACCTCAAAGTTTCAGCTTCATTTCTAATTGTCACATTTTTTCACCCACTTGTTGTCACGTTGTCACACCCAAAAATATTTTTTGCACCGGCCATTTTTTTTACAATTGACATTTTTTGGATCTTTCAATTTCTACACGATTTACACATTAATTGGCTGTGGAATAATCTAAATATAGCCCTTTCTACATTAGAAATGCTTTGCACATCTCACAGTACGTCTAGTTTTGTTAGAAGAGCGAAGACAAAGTTTTTTTTCTTGACAAATCCTCACTTCCTAGGCATAGTTGGGAGCGCGTGAGTACATCACTATCCGTTTCGACCAAATTCAAGCAGATTTTGTCGTGAGCTCTCCATCGCGTCTCTTTGAAATTCTTACCGTTGATCTTCCTTATATTAAAGAAAGACGTTTGAGTGATTCGTTAGCAGGAAAGTCGTGTTAAGAAAATGAAAGTCGTCATGCACTTTGCGTACAACAAAAACTTCTCCATATTTTCCCAGCCTGACTGGAAAATTGGAGATATCCAAGTATCCAAATAAGCGAATACGTAAATCTGCATCGAAAGGTGATAGTCGTGGTTTTCGTTTTAGACAGACGGGAGTATGTGGTTCAACATATCGGGTCTCAACGAAGCAATCATAACAGAGAAGCGATATCACGAAGTCGATGGAATCGCCTAGAATCACTCATCAGATCCCTGGATAACAAGATATCACTTTTTCAGCTTCCCGATTACGTCGTTATCAACAGTCACGCCTCTAAGGCGAACTCGCACAAAAATGTCTTCTGTGATTTATTTCATGGAATGTGAAGGACAGATTTTGAGAAAAACTAGGTTTTTCAACAAGGATAATTCGTGTGGGAAAATGGACGGCCATAAAGAATATCAAGAATCGATTCATGGGGCGCATTGCTTCTACATATCTTTGGGCGCCA